CGGGGTCCAGCCCCCCTGCTCTGGGCAGGAAAGACCGCTGGGGCCAAATAACCCCAGTGACATGTGGGTCCAGTCTCCTTTTGAAGCTCTCCAGGGTAGCTGCCTGCACCACCCCGCTGAGAGTCTATTCCAGAGTCTGGTCACATGAATTGTGAAGAAGTTGTTCCTTATATCCAGTCTGAAACCTTCTTCTAGGAGTTTATGACCACTGCTGAAAGCCAGGAGCTCTCTAATCTGCTTCTCCAATACACACTAGAGTTCAACAAACAGAGTTGGGTTACACCTTCAGCTGCTCAAAAGCGTTCAGTGCACCAACCTCATTAATGGTTTCAAGTGCGACTGTCCAAGAAGCCACTTCTCTCCTCCCCATTGTGTAGACAGCCATTTCCTAATAACCAATTTTACTGGACCCAGAGGTCTTCCACTTCTTTATCATTCCCACTGTCCTCTTGATCACCCACCACACTGTTACTTTGCATGCATTCTCCTTCCGAGCGGTCCACTCTGACTCCTGATTCCTGTAACTACTTCAGTAAGGAGCTGACCTTTGCTTCTGCAATCTCTCCCCCCTCAGCCCAGCAGCCGCAGTCTGGACGTCTTCATGGTTTGTGGAACTGCAGGTCTAGGCTCATTTTGCTCATGAGAATGAGGTGTGCATGTGCAAGCTGGTGCATGAAGCATGGTCACACAGCAACAAAGCTTTTTTGGGAGAGAAACCATTCTGATATGGGGAGGCAGGAAGTTCCCTAGAGTCTCCACTGCACCTGTGCACAAGTTATTCTGGACTCTGTCTCAGTCTTTTTGGCAAGGAACATACCCAATTCCCAGCAACGTTTTGAAGATTAGCTAATGAATGTAAAGTGCCTTGAAGGTGGAAAGCACCAGACAATAATTGCTAAGAAAAATACTAACACAAAAAGTGATAAACTGCTACAAACAGTGCTCATCCTCCAGCCACAAAAAATGCAAACATCACCTTCGATCTCTGATGTCAATGCTGCTCCACTGATGGAGAATGAAGAGATCCCTCCATGTTTAACAGACATATCAAACCGATTCCTCAAAGCTGAAGATCCGCCAGCAACAGCCTGCATTTGACCTCCTAGACTTTGGCTCACTTACACTCTACATCCTCAAACTTTTAATTAAACAAGAAAGAAGTTCAACCAAATCAATTTAAAATGTGCCGTTTCTCCCAATTACTGTGGAGCACAGAGGTCATCATCATATTACATCATTACATTTAGGAATAATCTAGCATGAAGTCCTATAAATTAGCACTTAAATAGCTTGTGCGTTTTCATCCATAAGAATGTATTTCATAAAGATATATCATTGGGATTCAATGGACGGAGATCTAAATTAAGCAGGCATATTGCATTTATTTTATATTAATTTTTATAAGGAAGAGCTGATAAAAAGAAGTGCCTGTCTGTGAAGGAAGTTTGAACATTAGGCCATAGAAGAAAAGGAAATCTTGCATGGTAGATCTACATTAGGACCTAAAGCCGTAAAGCCCTTTTTGTCCATTGCAGTTAGCACTGCTATTCAAAGACCCTTTTGTTTTCTCTAAAAGGTGCTGAAATATTTGCAGTCTATACCATTAAAACAAACCTAAATAGAAAACAGACAGAAAATCTACCACAGGAAAGAAACTGTTTTTATTTGGGTCTTTTGTAAAAACCCAATTTAAGGGACTGCCTATTTTGAAGGCAATAACAATATATCTATTTTAAACAATCAGATGGAAAAGAAGAATGCAGTCTCTAAATATTTATCATGGCATGCTGATTTAGGTAACTTCATGTTCAAATCCTTACATATGAACTTGTGCGACAAAGTTTTAAGTATCTTAAGATATTTTTAACAATCCTAGGATTTTCCTGTTTAATTTTACAGTCCTGAAGCCACAGGTTATGAATAACCAAGAAGAGATAAGAAGCCTGTTGTATTTTTTTTGGCTTCTACACTGTGGACCGAGTTCTTAAAAAAAATAAAATAAGAGAAAGGCTGATAAGTAAAATCTTGATATACCAGGTCTGGTTTGGATCACTGTGTGCGTAATGACTTTCACCTCTTGAAACCTGTCTGCTTTGTTCTTGTACATAGGCAGTGAGAAGAAATTTAAGTTTGGCTCAATGCAACAAATCAGAGAATACAATTTCTATAAAAATCCATATTACTGCAGGCATGTACTGATGGAGCAGACAAGCACAAGGAGTAAAAGGGTTTAGTGCATTTTTTCACTTGAGATGGAAAACAATGTCATGATTGCTACTGTATGGCTGCAGCTACTGCAGAGCTTGATTTGTTTATTCTTTAAATCAGGTTTATTTTTTAGGGAGAAAGACTTTTTAAAATTGAATTTAAATTCCAAGATGCGTCAAAAATTTGACCTATCAGTACAGATGCTATTTCCTCTCCATTGGTCACGTATTTCAATTTGCTGTACCTATTTCTGGTTTATAGCTGTGACACATTCACTGCACCAAGGGCATTTTTGGACTCTCAAAGGTAATTTGAATAAAATAGCAGAGACCTGCCATCCCCCCCTCACAATTTTCCATTAAAAGTGACAAAAATACATGTCCTTTTTTTTTCTTATTATCTTTAAATATAATATGTAAGCATACCTGAACCAGGGGTGTTAATACATTGCTTTAACGATGTCAGATGGATACAACACCTTCAATTCAAAATGTTTTACAGCCTTATAAATACTGGCTTTATTTTACCCTCCTCAAGGATCAGTGCATGACGGCTACTTAGAGATGCAACGTGCAATGATGCCAACATAAGACTTGACAGCTAACACATGGGTGGCATGCTGAGGCTATTACCTACCATGCGGACCTGTAGTGCCTCATCATTTCCTTGAGCTCTCCCTGTCTGCTTGTTCCATCCATTTACATGTTTCTTACTTAACTGTTAGGTCATGAGCAATTTGGGCTGGGGACCGTCTTTTGGCTATGTGTTTGACAAGAAGCTCCTAGGGGCTAGCATTATATAAATAATAAATACCAGTGTTGCTGTTTTAGACTGCAGTAGCCATCTGAAAGCTAGGAACTAATGTTATATGTATTGTGTATACAATGATTTTTGTACAATGGGTCCTTAAACTTTAGGCCACTTATAAGGTAAGTTTTGCTGACTTGAACGTTGAGTCATTGTTTTCATTGCTAATAATGTTCTGAAATAAATTAGGTCAACCTGAACGGCGGAGGTAAGAGCTGCATCAGCAAAATAGTCAGTCTATAAAAAGATGAAGGCAGCAGACCCATGTCGCTTAGTAACACAACCTGGCTTGGTTAATACACGCTGCGGTCACCGAGGGCATCAGCTCTCCTCCATCTAAAGCAGGGGTGTCAAACTCACCTGGCCCCGCAGGCTGGCTGAGTGGTGTGGAGCTGGGCCGTGGTTGGATTGGACCCACAGATACACCTGCTCCCCCTCCACCTAATACCAGATCCAGCACACGCAGCATTTGCTCTGGGACCTGCCCCACATGCAGCACCCATTCCAGCCAGTTCAGGACCTGTGCTGCATGTGGCACTCATGGCCACTGCATGAGGCATGGGTCCCAAAATGGCTGGAGTGAGTGCGGTGTGTGGCAAGCGCCATGTGTGGAGCACGTTCTGGGGTTGGCACTGCGTGGGGCACTGCATGTAAAATAGATCCTAGACCAGGGAAGCTAGCATCTCTGACCCCGCGTGCAGGACCAGTCCAGTAGCATGCGGGTGAACACAGACCCAGGGGCAGCACCAGCAGCTGGATAACAGTGCTCCACAGGCTGGATCCAGCCCATGGGCCATATCTTTAACTATCATAGTCTAGTGGGCTTGTCATCCTTGCAGTTAGCCTGAATTAAGTGTTGACCCTAAACTTGCGTTTCATCTCGCACACAAAATTGTGAACCTGGCACAATACCACCTGGGGTGGTATTTTCACTCTGAAATACTCCAGGCACCCTGCAACCCTGAAGTGTTGTTCTACAGGATGCGTGCTCCCTTTCTACCTAGCCTAACTCAGAAGAAGATATTTCAGCTATAGATAACTCTGCAGTAAAAGAAAGCCTACACAGTGTTTGGAAAAAGGAGGAGGAAGAAGAAAAATGAAGAGATTCCAAAGGAACCCTCCTCTCTAGCTCCTTCCTGTTAAGAGGAAAAATGAACCCAACAGACATAAAAGCTAGATGCAATTAAAAGGGACTTATCTGGATAAATTTGGCCCTGTATTTAGATGTTGTAAAGACTAGCTCACGCACAATTTCTTATACACAAATGTTTCTACTGAATGCCCAACAGGAACCAATATATAGCTGACCTGAATCCTTTCAACATTACAATGATGCATGAGGACCTAAAAGTGACCGTGACTAAGTGGCTTCATGTAAAAGAAAAAGTTTGTTTTCATTTTTCACATTAAAATAGATTTTTTAAAAATGCTTTCAGATTCAATAAACTAAAGATGGAACCTTTAAGAAAATTAGGAAAGAATTAAAAAAAATGATTTTAAATCCGAGTATCTGTTTGATATTGTGACCAAGATAATTTTCATTAAAGTGTTACAAGGGTCTCTTAAGAACCACACTGCTATCTATACCTTGGTCAACTTGGACAGGACAGAGATTTGGGTGGTTAATTAATTAAAAAAAATGGCTCGTGTTCAGTAATTTAAGCTGTGAATCCAAAGATCTGAAATTTCTTGAATTTGCTTTCAAATGCACCACCTACCACTCATCCGTCATTTTTTTATTCATCCATATCTAATGCTCTTCCCAAAGACTCATCCCAAACCAATGTTAATTTCTATTCTGTGGTCTTATAATGAATGCATCTCTTGGCAATGTTATTTTATCACATTTTAAATAGCTGGGCAAAAAGGTTTTATTTAATGGCCATTTTTTGCCCATTTTTACTGGCTGAAAATCCAGATTTATTTTAAACATGCCCAAGAATAACAAAATAATGCATTTAAGAATTAAACATTGTTATAGGTACCTGTAGTTAAAGGCAGGTGAGTGACACTAGTTAGACAGGTGAGAGTAAACCAGGTGGATGCTAGTGTTGCTCCAGATAGCAGCAGTAGAAGTATAAGTTTCAGCATGCCCCTGATAAAATCTGCAAACCTGAAATAAAAGCACAAATCTGATGAGCACAAACATTATTTTTGTATTATTTACGCATAATGCTTGCCAATGACTGTAATATACTTTCTTCCAGAAGTCCCCAAACTGGAAATGATCCTTGATTATTTTTCTGAAACTGCAAGCAATAGTTCTGTAGAAAAGGTGATTTTGTGGATGGATAAGCTAAGGACCCATGGCTTCTAAAATAGCTCATAAAAACAAGATCTTGAGCCACTGGCTAAAAATCCTTGGTGAATAGGAAAGATTCTTGTTTGCAATTCTCGGATTGTAAAGTCTCGAGTAAGGACCATAACGTCTCTCTAATTCTCCAAACAACGCACTTCAGAATTGAAAAATAACTTACTTAACCCCCACTTTGAATTCTTTACCTTTCTAGGCTCACAGCCATAGCTCAAGAGTTCACTGATATCTTAAAAGTATCTTCACAACCCCACTACTCAATATTTCAAACACTCTACTTGTACCCCTCCCTTATGCTAAGCTCCTCTGTTTTTGCTAGGTCACAGTAAGCAAAAAAATCATCTTTGCAGTTATAACACATTTGAAAAATTGAGACTTTTGCTGCAATCCCCTTTGACATCTCCTGACAGCAAGTTGTCTGTTCAAGGCACAGCTCTCTCTCTTTGCTACCCATTTTCACAGCAAATGTAGAAACGCTTCCCCTTGTCTACCACTTACGTCTGTAATCTAGGGATTGTGATTGACCAGCACCTCTAAATCCTCTGATCTAGGCTATGTCTATGTCTGAACATTACCAGATCTTTCTGCATAACATTTCTAAAATGCAGACTTTCTAACAACTGAAGTTCTCATCCATGCTCTCATCAGCCTGCATCTTCATTATCACAATGTCCTTCTCTGGTTCTGACTGCTCACAATGCTGAACCAGAGATTATTTTCCTTAGCCTGTCACTTCTCCCGTATCACTTGTATGCATGTCCCTCCACTGGCCCTTCCATATCCACTTTATAAAATGAGCTTTCTAGAAGTCTTGCCTTCACTTCCACTGCATTCCCATTTCCGACCCATCATTTAATTCAACGGAGAGATGTTGCCTCCTGCCTCCAGTTGCCCCTCCTTGCTCACTTGTTAAATTTTCTAACCAGCCTCTACAGGGTTCCTCTTATCTGCCTCTTTTTGCTTGAAAAGAAGCTCCCCTCAACACTGAGCACCATTTTATTCTCCTTAAATCTGTGCCTTAAAACTCTCCTTAAAACCACTCCATGATATCTACAAGTAACATTGGATAACAGGTATACTGCTACCATACTAAGACCACGGCTTGCTCTGTCAACCGGTATTGTCTCATTCTTTTAATTCCTGGTCTTAATTAATATTCACCCAATTCTTATTTTGCATCTAGACTGTAAGCACCTGGTTTGTTACGTTTCTACAGCGTCTGGCACAAAGGGGTCCTAATCCAAGCCTTGGGCCTGGAGGCATTACAATAATACAAATACTACATGCAATTCAGAATAGCTCAGACACAGGGGGCTTTGGCTATTTAAAGGGAAACATAAAAGATAGCTCAAACAATATTTTCCAAAAGCTAGATAAACGTAAGGCATTGCATCTTTTGCTTGTTCCCAAGAATAATTCTCTTGGAACGAACCTGCACCGTTACTTACATGGGCTGCTTGCCAGTCAGTAACATTTAGACCTGAAGGTTGCAGTTAGTTTAGGATGAGTTGCTTGATAATGTGAAGTGTGGTTTTGTGCATTTCATTCAAATTAGATTGAAAAGCTAGGATTCGTTTCGGTGGAAAACCTTTCAGGTTACCCTCAAATCCCAAATACTTGCAGCCCTATAAATTTGCTCTATATTAAAAATATTCAGAGCACATGAAGGGACAAGTACAGCTCTTGCAACAGCGAGGGAAGTCTCTGCAGATCAGGCAAGCAGAAAGCTGCATTCAGACACCTTCACCTTGATAAACTACTCAATGTGACCTTTAAATAATTTGTTGGAGCAGTCACTTTTTCATACTTTTTGCATAATCTGGCTGAATGCTGATCATATGATGCAATTACCAGTGCAATTGCTCTTTTCAAAAGGGATTTCAACACTGGTGCAAACAGAAAAAAAAAAGTATTTTGGGGAGATGGGGGTGGAAGCGAGGAAAGATAGAGATGCAATTTAATTTGCCAGCAGTTTTCTGCAGTCCCCTGTTTGCTATTATTGAAGTTATATCTAAAGAACATCATCTCCCTCACCGCTCATATTCCCTCCTTTTGGATTGGGACAGAGTGGTCCAGATGAAAACATCCTAGCCTGTCATTAAACCTTATCTTAACCTTCTAGAAACAAGTCATTGACCTTTTTAAGATCCAATACTATGTGGTCAACCCGATATAAAAAATTATGGTATATACAATTTGAAAAGTGGGAATTCTAGTTTTCCAGTAGAGCTTAACAGTTTGATCTAGCATGAAATTTAGGATGATGGATCTTAAAAAATCATCTCTTTCCTCTTATTTTGCCCCTTGCCCTGTTTTAATTCCACACTGAATTTAATAGTCAATAACTGGGAGAGCTGAAGTCAATTTTATAGATATATAAAACACAAATATACATGTATACTGAAAGTGTATGAACTGTTTTCAAATCAAATAAAAGCATTTATCCCTAACTGTAAAGGTTTAGCTGGTATTGCTGGATTCGAAGTGTGCAAGATGACAGTAATCCAAGTCCTGACTTTAAATCGTAAGTCACATTGTTTTATGCCATTTTTTGTTCAGCATTTGCGCCCAGTAAGCAATAATTACGTACCGCTTAGACTTAGCTACAGCACCACAAAATGTGAACGGCTTGTGTTTCACAGAGGCCTTTTCTTCTCTAAAGTCTGAGGCTTCTCCTGCTGCCTACAGTAGTACTGCCTCCCTGCTTAGTCAGTCAAGAGCAGTTATGGCTTTTGCCTAGTAAAACCAGGGAGGCAAATATCCTACTTGGAGGAGGGAGGCGAGAGATAAGGTGGAGAAAATATTGAACTTCTCTGCAACTGCCTATTTACTGTCGAAAGGAATGCTGCTTTTAGTGTGAACAGCACCAGCAGGCTCCAAGGACCTCTCTGATTTTTGCTGGGAGCTGGAGCTAGAGGAAGGGACAAATACATAGAGCAACATTCACTGAGCTTTTCAATTTAAAACCAGCAGCAGAAGCAACAACAAAAAACTAACGATGATGCAAGTGTTAGCCTTTTTGGGAAACTCAGGATGGCCACCTCAAATGCCTGCAAATGATCTTAGTCCAATGGTTAGGGAAAAAAAAGGCCTTAAATCCCAGCAGCACTGTCCTTTTGCAACCACAGAGTTGCACTGGTCACCACAGCACCTAGTGATATCACTGCATATCACCATCATTTAGCACTTCATGTAGGTGTCTGCAAGTATTCTAGGTAGATCGTGCAGGACAGTAGCTGTATATCTGCTTGTAATGAAGTGAAGACACATCACCGTGCCTCGTGCTCGCAATATAATCTCTTCTGACCTGCTGAATCCACCCCTGGGCTGGATCCTGCTGTTAAGTCATAAACCTATGTTGCTGACAACACCATCCATTGCTAAGGAAATTATCACCATGTCACAAAATTTCAGCATTTGGACTTTGCTGCAGGATAAACGCAGAAGGAAACGCAGGGCTGTGAAGGACAAAACCCAGAAATATCTGTGATCATTAGCAAACATGACAAGAAAAATTCTGGGGGAAAAGAAACAGATTTATGTTTCAGCACGATAATGTGAATGTCACTCTTTGAAGCTGCTTGTCTTCAAACCAAGCTCATTCTACAGCTGCCAGCAAAGGGTACAACACCTGCCAACTGCCCAAAATATCCCAGGCTTTTCAATCAGAAAAATGCATCACGCAAATTAACCAGACCTAGCTAAATTCAGAGATGTGGGGGAGAGGAGAGAAGAAATAGGTATAATCTTTGCGGAGGAAAACTCTTCGCATGCCATAGAAGAGGCAACAAATCTGGATCCTCCTTTTAACTGGATATGTTAATATCCAGAGCAGAAAGCTGGCAAAATACCACCAGAGCAGACATCTGGTTGCTAGATGCTTACACTTGTGTCATCAAAAACTGAAAAAGGGTTTGAAAATCATGTTCTTTATATGTAGTTAAATACTCAGATCAGGACGGCCCTGGGTGAGCAGTAAGAGTAGGTGCCAAGGGCAGAGAGCAGAGCAGGGGCAGGATGCTGTCAAGTGGAACACCACCAAAAGCAAGGTTAACCCTTCCTTGGCCCTGCAGCCACTGCCAAATTCAAGTCTTTGGGTTCTCGTCTGCCATATAAAACTGATGGTTGCAGGGCAACGAAAGGGTTAACCTGGCTCTTTAGAAGCGACACCTCCAGGTTCCCGGGCTCCACGTGCTGTGGGCTCTAGCTCCCCTGCCTCCCTTCCAGCACCCCAGGGCAAACACTCTTAGGCGTGCCTGGGGGGGAAGAGATGAAGCTTAACTTCCAGCACCCCTACCAAAAAGGATGGCCGCGGCTGAAATCAGATCCTGTTCACAGTGGGGCACAGATATCTCTAGACTTTACAGTGCAAGGGCATGAGGAGAAGTAAAACAATGCTATAAATTCCTGAACTAACATTTTCAGCTTTGCAAACGAAGAGCTAGTAGAAGAAAACAACTCTGCTGCGCAGAAGCTGTGAAGAGAGATAGCTGCTTGCTTGGTAAGTCGCAGTCCTGACATTGAAATACATCAGCCTGTCACACTTGACAAGAATCATTACCTAATTTTCCTAATTACAACTTTCAGCAGATTACAGTCAGAGTCGTCATTGATTCAACCCTACACAGATAACTGCTGAATAGGCCCAAGAAGGGGAGTAATCCATCAGGAGTGACAAATCGTCCCCTCCCCCATTTTTGTGTGTGCAAACCCCTATAGTCTGAACTAAATATTGTCTGTGGTGGAAAGACATATTGGGAGACAGACTATTAGCATTTTTTTAATTTACTCAAAAGCAAGCTTTGAACTCTCCAGAATACTGGCCTTGATATAGGGGTTGAAATCAATTCTGTAGCAGTTACAGAGACGTTCAGCATTTTCTGAAACTACCACCAAGCTATATATTAAATAAATTAATCTATCACAAAGGTAGGTATTTGCATTATGGGACTGAGTCAGCAAATTCTTGCTAGAGAAAATGAAGGCGAGGAAGGGTGCTCCCCTCTAGCGCAGAGATGTATTCGATGCAGTGGCACAGGCTAGTCCTCCAGAGGAAGAACACAGCTGCACCCAGGTCCAGCTCAACTGCTCTGCAAGCAGCTTGTGTTCATCACCAGTGAATTTACTACACCAGAAGGCCTACAGTACATGCAAGTCTTATGGGGAAAACCTTCACAGGCAAAGCTATCCAAAGATAGGTCCCTTTGCAGGTATATGCCTCTGGGGCACAAGTCCTGATATAGTACAGGGCTGTCCAACTGGCAGCCCCCCAGCTGGATGCAGCCTGTGAGGGGCCAGTGTGCTGCTTCTGGGCTGCTGTCCAGCTGCGTCTGCCCCCAGTGCTCTGGCTACAGCAGCGGTAGTGGCTGGGGTCGCTAAGGCACAACAGCACTATGGCAGGCCTGGTGAGCTTGCCACCTGTGTGGCAGCACCAGCAGGGAGAAGGGCTAGGTGCGGAGGTCGCAGGGGGCGAATCACCTGAGCGGTGGTGGCAGCGAGGTGGATTGCACTGCTTGTGTGGCAGAGATGGGGGTAGGAGGGGGTCTTGTGACAGTGGCAGCAGGGGTTTCATGCAGTGGGGGTCCCAGGAAACCTGTGCGGCACAGGGCCTATGACCCACGTGGTGTGTAGCCTCCTGCCCCTCCGACATCCCATGGCCCCAGTGCAGTAGACTTAGTCCTTTAGCAAAGAGATATCAGGATGTTGGACCGGGGGACCCAACTCTTACTCTTTTGTATGACTGCGGGGGGCTTTCCTTTGCCTTTATGTTTGTCACTATGTGCAATGAGAGGCTTCAAGAAGCGAAACCCCAGACGTTATTTATGTAGTGGCATGTGTTGTTGGTGTACTCTGTGCGCGCACCTGCATGTGTGTGTAATATATAGAATTTACAAACGCACTTTTTGATGACAAGTGTAACCATCTACGCACTCACATACCCCTCTGTCTTAGAGCATCATCAGGTGCCAACCCCCTAAAACCAATGCCGCACTCATAGCAGAATTAGTCTCTGAAAGGTGAATATAAAGAAAACAGGATGGTGCTGTGAAATTCAGAAATGAAGATAATGTGCATGGAGAGGAGGCAGCAGGCAGGCAGGGAGGATGTTATAATCACCTCGAAGTTATGAACTCAATTCTTAATTGCCTTATGAAGGTTGGTTTGGTTTTGTTGTTTTGAGGAATCTGGACAGAGAAGGACTGGCAGCTTTGGCTTTGGGGGAGAGAGTCCAGTCCTCATTTTTTGATTCCCATATCTACATCTGCTCAAAAGGCTGCTGAGGAGGGCCCCTGTATCACCCACAGTGATCAAAGGGGAGGCTGGGGAGCTTTCCATGTATATAGCTGGACTGCACACTGCCAAATAGCATGGAGTTAGCTTTAATGAGCTGCATACCCTAACCAGCTTATTTAGCTTTCTACACCAGGGGTCGGAAACCCTTTTTGTCAGTGTGGGCTGCTACTTCCACCCTAGCATCTTCTGCTGCAAGATGCAGCCCTACGTGCATCCCCACACCCTTCCCCAGAGATCAGCAGATGCTACAAGGGGAATAGCTAGAGAAAGGCAGCGACTAGGATCCAGGGGATGACTCCTCAGCTGCAGCAATGTAGGG